CGAAATTCTCCGTGAAGTCCAAATTTGAAATTGCTATAATGTAGTTACCGTTAGAACAAATACACTGTAGTTAGAATGCCTAGCTGTCGGAGAATAACAATAGTATACGAGCAATCGTAGAGTCGGGTCGGTGCACCTAACTAACTCGAAGCTCCTGAGAAGAAATGGCATGCTCAGCTCACTCGAAAGTCCTTTTCGCCTCGTACTGAATCTACATTGCACATGCACATGTAGATGTAGATGTAGATGGCTCCCAATAGCTAGTGGTGGCGGAATACTTTTTATCTTTATGTCGCACTACTATGTACTGGCCAACTTCCTTCCTAAGCTGGCTGTATTTCTCAGCACAATTGTATAGTTGGTAGAAAGCCGCTTATAAGGACAAAATACACACACCCTCTGGTTACTTCATCTGCGGACAGAACTGTTTCGTCCTTTGTGGACTCGTCAGCGCAGCACAGAGGAAATGAGGCCGAACCTGATAGCAATGGAAATAAAAATTTCCAATCAGGCCCGAACGTACCTTGCCAGAGTGCTCACCCTGACAATGCATATTTTTCCCAAGTGTTCATCTAGCTCTGTCGCACACTGTAATAATAAGTGTTCATCTACTAGTAAATCTCAAAAGACAATGATCACACAGTAATGAAGCAAGCACATCTCGCTCCCCCCCCCCCCGTACATCTCAAATGACTCGTGTAGTAGGAGCTACTCGCTTGTCTATAGGGGGAAAGTCATTTCTGTCGATAGACTATACGTCGAACACAGTGACACACACCATGCATCTCAATCTGTGAAGGGAGACCTAGATCTACATGTACTGTACAATGTGATGTACGTGCATATCACCATGCCCATGGACTGGTGAGTACTGTAAGATCACAATGTGTACAATGTCATTGTAGAAATGGACTGCAGGCGATACGCCAGCATTGTCAGTGAGCATACGCCCTCCTCTGGACCTATCTCAGTGTCTGGCGTACCCACACCAGTCTGATGGAAGCAATCGAGGCAGATCACGTCAACACTTGTGCCTAGGAATAGGATGGTTGGGGTTTTGGAGATAGGTGACTATAGCGCCATTGCAATCTGGTGCACTCATCCTTGGTGGCACATTTTGTCATCTTGCTGCTATGTTACGTGCCTCGTGACATCGACCTGTCCTTGTGCCTTGTGACAGACAAACACCCTTAATCACGACTGCTCAGTCCTGAATGACTTACGTACCACCACGTAAGTCAGTACAGTCATGCAATTGCTAGATGGAAGCAGCATCACAAGGTCCCAAGCCTAGCCCCGCTGCTGCCAGACTATTGTCACAACTTGGATCCAAGTTCGCGTGCAAGACACTAACGCCATAGTCTCTACTATGTCAGTGTCAGGTTTGCCTTCGACTGTGACTGCGATCTCTAAGCCACTGATATCAGTGCACACAGTCTTTGCCACACTGGTCTAACATGACGATCGTGGCTGGAGATTCGGCATGAGCTGCAAGACCAACAAACCGAGCCTGCATGCATGTAGGCGTCCTGTTCTGCGAAAAATTAATAATGAATTAAATCTAGCTAGCTGTTGTAATCCACGATACGGTCGTAGAGGAAACGCCGAGAAAGCCGTGGCAAAACCACAATGCGTGAGCTGCCTTAGATCCCGACAGGTTTGAGAAACACCAAAGCATGGAGTGTGATTGACGGATTCATCTGAAATTCAGCGCTGCAGGTATTCATTTGGACCGTCCTTTGCCAGTATGGCCATGAATAGGAAAGTTGGGAACGAAGACGGCAATTTTACGTTGACCAGACAAAATACCCCAAGTTTCAGCAACAAAGGTGCCACACAACCAGCCTGGCAGCATAGGTGTGCGAAGAGCTAACTACAGTACATTGTATGCTACGTTGAACAAGTAACGGTTGTTCAAACCACGTATCGTGCACACGCTGAAATGTAATCATTGATCTTCAGAACGTAGAAGTGGAATAAGACTTTTCATGCACAGTATTCGGGTAATAAAATAAGTTTTGTCCACTGATGCACGCCTTTTGGTTCCGATCACTCCTGATTTCATTGATGAAAGGTCCACTGGTAAGGAAATGCACCCAGAGATTCTTATGAGATATACATGTACATGTACAACCGAGGCCGATCAACCCGTCCACCAATCTATAGAATTCTAGGCATGAAGTGAGTGATTCAAATTTGAGATATATTATATCAACGTAGGTCTACGGAGGTAACGTTATATTTCGGATCTGCGTCCGCATGGCTTCGAGCCTATTGTACATGTATGTCTTTCTGAAGTACTTGATAACACAATCATTTCTACACCCGTTCATTCTCCCAGGCGAGACTCACATACCTCACAGAAGTCGGAGATCACATGGCATCTCGGAGGGTATCACCACTATGGTCTTCTCCTGGATTTACCCCTAGGACAGAAGTAAACTGGAAAATCGATCAAGTCACCACAGATGTAGCTCCAGTCTTAGGGTACCGGTGGCCGCCTATCCGCGAATGCAAGCCTGTGGCGAAGTCTCATGGAAGGAATCAGGTCTGATGTGAGCAATAGAGAACTAGAACTTGTTACGAAGGAAGAGCTGGCTGGATCTGTGCGTGTCAGACACTGTACATTATTCTTGAGAGTGGAACTGATTGACCGTCTCTCCTGGCACATTCAGGCAAACTGATAATTTCGACCTGGTCACTGATCACAGCAGCACGGGTGCATAGTGATTACACATACATTGCTCAAAATGTGGCAAAGGTCAGGCTGCTGTGACAGCTTCGTGGCACGTGTAATCTTCCTTATCTCCCCCGTCATGTCAATAATGACGGAGCCAGGCACGCAGGCCCTGGGAAGTGTGGATGCGATAGATGTCAGCAGATCAGTGGGTGGGATGTGCGGGTGATCACCGGATGATGAGCACATCCCCCGGTATAGTGGAAACATACCCACACTGGCGAAAGAGTCTAAGTTATGGTCTTGTGTGCGTAGTCAGTGTGTTTGCTAACACGATTCCTCCTATGCTGACTGTAATTGCGCAGCACAGTGTGTTTGCTAACACGATTCCTCCGATGCTGACTGTAATTGCGCAGCACAGTGTGTTTGCTAACACGATTCCTCCGATGCTGACTGTAATTGCGCAGCACCAAAATTGAGTACTGTGAAATGGAGGTAACAACTGAATAGCCTAGGCTAGAGATATACAAGGAGGAAAACTTCCTTCTGCCAGCGGAGAGGGCTCAACACAATAATGTGGATAGAGTCGCCTGATGATTGCATTGAGCAAGAAACTCTGAGTTGCGACAAATTTGTAAACCTCCGTTATGCTTTTTGTGTGTAACCTAGAGATACATGTATACAATCATCATGTACATGTATCTACCTAAGTATCAACGGATTTGATACCTAAGTATTATACATTGAGCAAAGTGTATTGTTTCTTCGATAACTTAATAACCAAGCAATCCTCGACGAACGTGGTCCCTTCGCATTTTTTTCTAAATTTCGGCCACCCTTCACTTCTCCCCACAAGCTGGGCTTGCAATGACAGGCCGTCAAACATGCCATGACATGCTTATTGCTCGTTGATTTGCCTTGTACATGTACATGTACTTTGTTCGCTATCCTACCTGCAGCAGTAAGGTGATCTGCAGTGACACTTCAGTAGGCATCTCTGTGTCGCATTCAGCTGGACATGTACAGTTTACTACTGTACTAACTGAGTACAGTATCCTGCAGTCGACTACTTGGACTACATGTAGTCGTGCGACAACGCTGTTCCCATCCTCACCACCAAGTGTTTTTATCTGCCATCATGCCAAGCTAGATTGTGTGTGTGTGTGGGTGGGGGGGGGGGGGGGGGGGCAGGAGTACATGTGCTGAAGTACTAGTAGTACTACTAGGACATTGTACATGACGAACGTGATGTTCCTTATACTATAGTATACCACATGTGCTTCGAATTCAGTCGTTTTCGCAATTAATGGAATAACTACTTTTACATCAGTGCTCTAGGAATATGTGTTTTTTGAGGAAGAAGATATCCAAAGTACAGAAGTACTCCCGATTTCTTTCATCCCAGTTGTGCTGATTGCTATCCGTTCTCAACACCTGCACTCACTTGAATACATGGAAATTCCTGGAGTGCATGTTGTACAGTTCGAGTGGGTCCACGAGCCTGCCAGTACTATGGCGACTGCACAAGCCACACAGACCTCTTGTAACCCCAGACCAGGTGCCAAAGCAGTACAAGAGCGCCTATACCCTAGCACAAGTGCTGCGCTATCAGGGATGGTATTCATGCACGGGTGAGGTATCTGCCTTTGATCAATTATCACTAAGCTACAATGGACATGTACTTGTACATGTGTCTGCATGTGGTGTAAGGGATAACACTTTCCCACCCCAGTAAACATTGACTCAGCACAAAAGCCTAGACATGCAGGGAGGGGTTTAGTCGAATGGTGAAGTCGAATGCTTATGAAAATAATAATAGTATTCCACGGTTGACATGTATGGCGAACGGTCGCCATGGATACATAACCGTTCCATAACGACCCACCAAGACCTACATGTACATGTAACTGAATCAATCTCTCAGACTACACTACACAGTCTACAGTTCATTGAACTCAGGATTGATATACGTGTACATGTACATGCACATGTATATCAATATTGACAACGGATTATCAGGTCCAAAATCGTCGGAAGTAGAATACGTACTTCAAAGAAGAAGTATTATTCAAAGCCATTCTACTTCAACGCACACACACACACGCTCGCACACACCCACACACGCACACACACCATGCCATCTCTACATGTATTTCCCCAATCGACTAAATCCACAGGCCTACATGTACTGTATATGACTCCCCATTATCCTCCGCTCTATCTTTACCCCATTTCGGCTGAGAAGCCATTCTAAAACGATACATGTACATGTACATGTATATGTTGCACGAAATCTACATGGTATTGTATAATGCTTGCCCACCTGTGTTATGAATATCGTCCAGGTAGATGAGCTCAGCAACAGCACTTCAGGTAGAGTCTTGGAGGTTATTCGAAGTAAGCAGCAAACTGAAAGCTGTCTAACTCTTCGCCAACGGAAACTGAAAGCTGTCTTCGCAGGAATACGTAGCTCGCAGTGTCGTCAATAAACGTCTCTGAAAGGGGTGAAGGCAAGGTTTCTGGATTTATAGTTGAGACCAATTAGGATGCCACAGGGACCAGGAGGACTTTCATCTCCACTAGGGCCGGACTGAAAATTCGGAGAAAGCGTTGCTAGAAAACTTCATGACTAAGTTCAGCAATGAATTCATTGCAGAGAGGATTCGGTAGCCGCTCCACAAAAGGTAAGATGATCGTGTCACTCTTCGCTTTACCCCAGGTTTCTGAGCATCAGGCATGTCACTGGCTGGCTGTCTAGCTGCGTGTTGTTTACGCTTTTTCTCCAGGTGTGTACGCGATACGCGTGGGTTGAGGGAGCCTTTGACCGGGCAGGTTTACTCACAGTGTTTGCCGTTCTTCCGCGCCGTATTTCCAAGAGAAGGAATTCATGCTGGGGAGAATGGCACAGCGTGAACGTCCTTGTGCCGTCTGTGACCTGTGGTTATTTTGTGGTCACCTTCCCAAGTTTAGTCGGAGGCAGTGATATTGATTATGGAACACAGAAAGTGCTATGCCGATGGGATCCATGACCCTGGAGTGACCAGAGGCTGCTGATCTGCATACTGTGCAACTGACGTCTCTCTTCATTCTCAAGTACGTCTACTTATGGGGTCCTCGAAGCTCCTTCTCAGGGTTTAATTACGTCATTTGTAGGCCTGAACCTGCATTCGAGTGCGTTCGCTCAAATTTAGTCTTGTTGACACACGGTTACCGTGCTCAACATTCATTACCTGATCAGCGTACTAGTATTGGACGTGGGGAGGCTTGGAGAATCTGTCGCCTGGCACAAGAACTGATACAATATAGGGCGTCGCTGATTGACCTGTTTATATTGCTCTATCGCGTTCATTTCTCCTGGTCTACAGCGAAACGCCCATGCATGGCCGTCTAAATACTCTAATCTCTTTTTACCCAGCTGCTGCCGTGGCTGCTGCAGTAGTTAGATAAATTCACCAGCACCCCCGCCATAGTATACTGTCGTAGGAAGCGAGAGTATGTGTTCTGGTGACTTCACAGGTTTGTAGAGAGTAATTTCCTCAGCGTTTCCCGGCGATTGGACGTGGTGATGTCTCCTGTCGCCATCGACTAGACCGCGCCTTTCTGATTGTGCATACCCGTGCGTGCCTGGCGTTCAGGAGTTAAAGCATTGCTCGCGCACCATCATCACACTGCAGCATTCATCCATATATGGCGCTGCACTGGACAGATCCTCTGGGCGGAAATGGCTGCTAGGAAGCCTGTGTTTTTCCCCTCGTCATTCCTCTGATACTGTGTAACAACACAATGGGACCAGAACACGGAGGCCATTGTGCGGGAAATCAGTGCAAGCGCGGCTGAACACTATCTGTGTAGTACCAGTGTCTTTTTCCCGGTTGGCAACGATTGCACGCAGAATGTGGCCGCGCATACTCCTCCACACTGTTGCTGTCATTGGTACTCATTCCTCGGTCACTGCCCAGCGGGCGAAACGCCTGATTAATACACCAATCTCCGCATACTGAGCGAGCAAGAAATACCTAACATCCTACAAGGCAGGAAGCTAGCCTAACTCAACTCATTCACTTTGATCCATGTAGCGGAAGTTTCCTTACTCATAGCTTCCCCTGGTTCTCTCAATTCTCCTCCGATCCATGTGCCAAGCGGAGAGCGAGCCCCAGAGACGAGCAACTCTCATCTCGCCTCATCAGGCGAAAGCCGAGACGCTTAGAGGTCCTCACCACAACATGGTTTCGCTACCTCTGGCAGACGGAGCGAAGATCGCGTACCTTCTTCGCTCTCTTGTTCACCACGCGTCTGTTTCTGGCAGCGATTGATGGCAGATACATGGAGATGAGCGCTGGGAAATACCTTTTCACCGCGAAACTCGAATTTCAGCCGTTATTTCGATACAAGGCCGAGGCCCGACAGATACCGACTACTCTCTTCAGTTTTTTAACGCCCAAAACATTGGGACCTATAGCAGCCGATTGTATTGCATTTCATGGATTGGACTAGGGTTTATGGAGTTAACACTAAAGATTGCATGACCGTGTTTGTACTCTCGATGGCCCTCACCCCGCAGGTAAGACCGCCACCTCTCACGGAGTGCAGCCCGAGGAAATACCAGCAGTTCACCGACCCATTGTACAGAACCCGGTAATGGTCTTGTGGCGTGCACCAGCCAAGGTCCATCTATAGGCGTGATCCAAAACACTGACATGAAACGAGCGTATCGGCGCGGATTCGCCCCATCAAGCAATAACAAGAAAGACGCAAAGGTGCGACCTTGCCCAAATCAGACGCGAAACGAAGAACTGAGATTCGCGGCTACACCACGCTGCAATGTAGTCAACTTCGGTTGGAAGCGCTCTACTACACGCAGAGCACGCTCTGAACGGGAGTGGGTAGACGTCCCAGTGACACATGAGATAGATTAGCAGCGGTCTACTATTTCCGCTCAAATAGGTACATCCACAAGGGCATATGCATACACGCTGGCCGTGTCGTGAGTGCTTTGGAAGGGTAGCTTGAAGTAAAGCATTCACCGGCGATTCGTAGCTGCTTCCCGTGCAATAGGTACTCAAGTCACAATATGCCCATCGCAAACGCTCGCGAGAATAATGGGATGCTTTGGCGCCTGGTATTGGCCACAAATCACAACAAAGTAGCTCTGTTTCTGATTTCGACACGTTGAAGCTCGTACAGGGGGCGGAACATGCCACCTTTCACAAGCCATTGCGCCCCAATTGCATCCGCTACCCTGACAGCGTTGCAGTTTGACCAAACCCAAGTAAACACAGCATTTACAACATTCCACGGTCACATGCTGTTATCATCATGACATACAGTTTCATTGCATGCCTTGCACATCAGAGAACGGGAAGCCTAGTTTTAAAACAGAAAACGGAAGATTTTAATCACCCACTAACAGATTTATAGAGGTGTAATGGATGTCGATACTGAGTCAGGAAGCAAAACCCACAGATTTCCAGCCCTTTGCAGGGAGAACAACGTTCTCAGTGTTACTGTATTCCTTTCAAGAAGGTTTTTTACTACTTACGATAATGATGGTTAATTACAGTATTGAATATTAATCCATTCTGTTTGTTTTTGCCCATAAAAGAGGCTTTTGAAAGTTAATTAGCTTGGGTTTTCGTATGGGCATCAGTAGAGCTGAGTTACTATGCCATGGTCACTTGGCACTAATGACCAGTATCACACTTGTCTAGGTATGACTTCCATGGCGGTTTGCAGTGTGGCCCTATCACTGCTGAGACTCCTGACCACTACTAGTATGTGAAGCCTAGCACATGCATTAGAATTATCCAGTCTCTACCAACTCCTACACATTCGCTTAGAAATTGAATATGTATACGTCTCACTCGTTTTACATTATGTCACGATTCCTAGCGTTTTACTTATGAAAAAGTGTGTTTTTAAACGACTCACGGACACCGATAGCCGGGGACACGAAATACATGTGAACATACGCTCAATGGTCGTTGTGCTGCGAAATACTCTTCTGGTTACACTTAATTTTCGGACATAGTCCATCATCGTTCTTTGAAAACTTTGACAGCACATGGAGAAACCCTTCGAGTATATTGCTATGGTCAATATCTTGGTCTTTGGTCAAGGGGTGAACGATTCCTAGCGTTTTACTTATGAACAAGTGTGTGTTTAAACGACTCACGGACACCGATAGCCGGGGACACGAAATACATGTGAACATACGCTCAATGGTCGTTGTGCTGCGAAATACTCTTCTGGTTACACTTAATTTTCGGACATAGTCCATCATCGTTCTTTGAAAATTTTGACAGCACATGGAGAAACCCTTGGCTTCGAGTATATTGCTATGGTCAATATCTTGGTCTTTGGTCAAGGGGTGAAGTTAAGAACGACTGGTGAATCTGAAACACGCATTTACAGTGCGTGACTGCTCCACCACGCCATCCCTCTTGAGAGCCTACTCCCTACGATTCGTACATACCATTACAACTTCTTACCTTGGATGGCTGGCCGTGGACAGCAACCCAGATTCCAGGGGAGATACTTTCATTGCCAGCACGGTGATAACCCGCAGATGTGCAGAGCCAATTATCCACAATTCGAACAGGTCTGCTCGCACGATCAACGTTCTGACATAATATGCAACTCCAAGAGAGTACGAAAGGAGGAGTGCTGGAAACACACGACCCCTTGCAACTACGCTCCACGCACAGGACTACCCAGGGAATTTCTGCAACGAGAGTCTATTGCACAGCTACAAAGAGCGATTTACAATTTTCTTATTACAGTACTTGGATTTCGCTCAGGAGAGGGAAATGTTCCAATCCCACGTCGGATGTAACTGACTATGAAGCACACTGGGCCTGTGAAGGAACTGGATCAGATCATCACTAACTGTTGGGTAAAGCATGGGGTTGATTACTCGCCCAGCTCGCCACTTCCTCTCTGCTAGTCCACGGCTAGCTTGCTAGGTGGCTCTCTGACGTCAGGTGTTGGTGCATTTCCTACCCGAAGCTTCCTCGCACAATGCATGGTCCACATACTACTTGACCGTGTCACGCGAATTACTCTACTCTCTAGTACTAACACAAAAGACTTCACGATGCACAAACGGACTTGATGAAGACAGGGATTTGCTTACCTCCGGATCCAGCTGGGTAGTGACGGTCTTGCCTGCACCCTTCCCTCCAGAGTTCATCTGTCACTGTCCCCACTCTGTGTTGTCCTTTACTCTGCAGCGTGGATTACTCTTCTTCAAGTCTGTGAAAATGTGGGCAGCAAACACAGATAGAAGTGCGCACAATTTTATCATTCCGCTCGGCTGCAACGGGCAGATCGCCCAATCCTTTTTCCCATCCACCGAGCCCCAGCGTTGTTTCGCTACCAGTACATAGTGTAAGACTAGGGGAGATTGACCCATCACGGGCTGCAGGTCAGTAGTGCAGCGCAGCATGCCCCGTACACGGCGCCTTCGACAGGATATGGGCACTAGATGGCTGGGACATTTGTTCACTCTAATAACTAATGGCCAACTGGCACCCATGGCTTTCCGCTGAATGCTGGCCCGTTGCCGGTCTCCGACGGGCACTGATCGGTTCCGTACGCTGAAACTCCGCTTCCGTCCTTGTCGAACATGCACGAGGCACTGAAGAGAAAAACATCTCGCAAATCCACATACAAGCCGAAAGCGACACAGAGGAAGCACCAGCAGTGTCGTTTCTGATTTCAGAAGCAACGTTGCGAAACTTCGCGGCGTTGCAAGTCCCTAACCGCTGACTAGCCATAGCCTCTGCTGTCATATTGTCAGATTGTCAGCGAGCAGGCGAATTTTAAACTCACCTCAGGAATCGCACGAAGGAACTGCAAGTGTCCAACTGAGAAGCGGTCCAAGAAAATAAGGCTCTGACGTGCTCCAACCGACGTCGAATTTCGCTCAGGTGATTTCGTGGGAGCGCTGCTGGACGACTGCTGAAGGTCGTCTGAAACGCCCTTACTTTTATCTGTTCGCCTGAAATATCTGACGTTGCACCACAAACAACGCGTCTTTCTTCTGTATCATCAATAGTCTGTCTGTAGCATGGCAGTAAGACTCGTATCGCATTACACGGGTTAAAACTGAAGACGAAGCCTTCTTTTCGGTCTTATGAAGACTGGCTAGACATTTGCAGACGTGTAGGAGACAGGCGGAGGGAAGTATTTTCTGCAGATCCGTGACATCAGACAGTTGTGAGTAAGACCCGCCTCCGCGGTCTCTTCTATGGTTATCG